ATGTATATGCAATCTCAATAGTATGTGGCATGGGATTCCATGTGGTGTTGATTGGTACGTAGTCTTGAGTAAATCATTCCGAACATTTTGTTTTTAGGATCCAAAAAAAAAATCATTTATTTATATATTATCAAATTCCAATTAAAATTCATCATTTTTCTTCTCAAGAAGTAATACATCTTTTGATGTATTTTTTAACATTCTTTTTATTGGTTGAAATTCATTTAGATATTACCACATTGAAATTAAGACTATCAATTAGAAAATAAGATTCACATATTTAGTGAGACATATACAAATGTTAGCCAATCTTAGAATATGTTAAAAATGTGTTGCTGATATTTATCTCTCCTATAAACTTATTTTTATAGTGTTTGGACTTCTAAATGGAAACAACTTATGTCAATTACATAATAACATAATAATGTATGAAAAAAATTAAAAAGAGATGTATACAAAAAATATGCACAAACAATTTATGTCAGGAGAAAATAATTAAAGACAATAAAGTATGCAATGGTGACATTATATGTTTGAATGACATATTATCTCAAGTACACATGTCCTAGTCATATCAAGGGAAATTTAATATTATCATCACTAGCTGCACAACAAATTATAAAAACGTTGTTGTAATTAATTTTTTAATGGAAATTGATCTTATATGGAAGACTACCTTTAAAGAATCTTGGTAGTTGTCTAAATCTAAAACATTTAAGTCTGTAACTTATTTGTCCTAACCATATGGAATTACTTATATATTTGTGCTTAATCTTTTGTATGTGTCTCAGATCTTTCGATGATAATCTCCCAAAGTATGAAACCATTATTATTGTCCAAGGTAATTTGATAAATTACAATGCTAGAGACTGTCAAGGTTTTCCATGGCCTAATGTTGACATCAACTGACCAAACAAGACTTTGGATGAAGAGGATAGTTGACTAAGGACTAGGGTAGTATAGTCCCTTAGCTTCAAATGCTAAGGTGTGAAGAGGCTTACGCGAAAGAGACGGTCAACTAAGAATTGAGAGTGGTGCAAAAATAAAGTTGTATGCTAACTTATTTACCACAAAATGATGAAAATTTGGTGCACCGACCTACCCTTCTTATTTATTTTTCTAGCATTAAGTTAATCTTTAACCTCAAGACTTGTTATATGGATTACATGAAATGGAACCATTTATTTTATGTAAGCTCTATGTAGGTTGACATAATACTATGAAAATTAAAAACAATAATCTTTTACCACATTAACTTTGCCATATTTGTTTCTCATCACTACTAGTGCAATAGATCGAAAGGTTACAAATTTTACCATTAATTTGAATTAAAATTTATTTAGGGGTAGGAATTGAAAGTGAATGTTTCAATTGATGTCACAATAACATATCATTGAATTAAGAGTTAATAATAATAATGATAATAATAATAATATAATATGTTTAATAAAATAAGATGATTTAAGATAATTATTTAGAGTTTGTTTAAAGATATGAATTTCTAAATAGAAAATGAGCCTCTATAAACCCAATAAAATTTAAGGTTTATTAGTTATATTACACGTATTTTCATTTGTACTAAAATGACATAAAAAAGGAAGAAGAATGAAAAGGAGAACAAAACTTAAATATAATGTATAAAATAACTTTAGGGACTCATACTTTTAAGTGAATATTTCTAATATAACTATTCATTCCGTAAAATTGTATTGCTTATTTGAATAACTAACAATGTTTTATAAGGGTAATGATTAACTGAATGTGTTTATGATCTATTAGAATTTTAATAGACTTTGTAAATATGTCATGTTAAGGTTTAGAGAGAAGTTTTACAAGTGATTTTATAATGTTGTATATTAAAAGGTTTGAGATAGGTGTATAAATGTGTTATATATATAAGAAAAATATTTACTTACTCCAAAAATAAGTTTATTTAAACTTTATTTCATTCAATAACCCATGTTTAATATAAAATTTTAACTATTTAACTGTTAAATAAAAAGTTTTCGATGCATAAATTAAGTTTACAAAGTTTTATAAAACTTGAAAACTATTTGATATTTTATTTTATTAATTCAAATTGATGGGTAATTATAAAAATATTTTATATATTTTGAATTAATAAAACGAAGTATCAAATAATTTTAAAAATTTACAAACTTGATTTATACATTAAAAAATTTTAATTCAATGATTGGATCGTTGAATTTAATGTTAAACATGAACTATTAACTATAGTAAGTCTATCTAGATAAACTTACTTTTGTAGTAAGTAGATCCCTCTTATGTATGTGTGTGTTTATTAGTGGATTCCTCTCTTATGCATGCGTGTGAAAAATGCAAAATAATGATTATGTGTACATTTTAAAAAGAAAAATCTCAAAAAATGCTAAATGATGATTATGTGTACATTTTAAAAAGAAGATTCTCCTTTAACAAGAGGAGGGTAATAACCTCTTAATAACCATACAAACAACTGATTTTTATGCAAAAACAAGACCAGGTAAGAACCACTCAATTTGCTCTAAATTAAGAAACCGAACTAAATCCATCAACAATTAATTTTGTCAAGTTTAAGCAATTGATTTTTTAATAAAATAAATTCAAATCTAACCCTTTTTTATATCCCAGTTATAACCAAAAAAATATCCCAATTAACAATAAATTCCCAACATTGTATACATCTGTAGAAGGCACAATCAACAGATATAATCGCATTCGTCTACTTTTTACCAAAACAAACTTAAATATTATCATCTATAACTATGCATATTACGGAATTATATATAATATAATTTTATTTTGATTCTATAAATGGGATCCAAGACTCCCTCAGATCAATCAATGTATAGCCGAAAATAAGGTTTAGAACTGATCACGTTTGTTCATCTTTTAGGTTTAATTCTTGTCACTTTTGGAACAACTTAGCTCAGCTATGCACACGACACATACAACCTGTTTCTTCCCACAGATTGGTAATCATTTTAATGCGGGAAAAAAAAAAGAAAAAGAAAAAGACATGACTTCAAAATGAAGTGAAACTTCAGTAGTTTGAGAGCTTTTCAAGCCTGTTATTGGAAGTTTCCGCTCAAGTTGGTAAAAGGTAATAACAAGATCAAGAAGAGACCAAAAATTGTCCAGGTATTTATAGTGTGTTCCCTCAAGAGACCATTCAAGCTAATGGATTTTCTTGGAAACCTCAACTATGCCTTTCTTTTGCAGTTGACTTAGTAGTGATAAGGTCTTATTGATGATAATTTGTTATACGTCTACAGATATAGTAGCTACCCTTTATTATAATAGAGCAATATTTCAGCCCAGATGGATAACCGGACAACAAATCTGTTTTAAACTTGTCGTTTAGGATTTGGAATGGCATGGTCAAGTGAATTGAATTGCACTCTTCAACTTGGACTTTACTTTTGCGTTTTGTTGTCTCCAAGTTGGTTACCATAGTTGTATCCTAAAGATTTGAAAACTTGTTTTCATTTGATGGCTTGAACCACTGGTCTGAACAACAGAAACAACATATGATATTTGAAATGACGGTGGTATACTCGAATCAAACATGCGCTCCGGACCTCTGGTTGCTAAAAGGTGTACAGAAATTAACAATTATTTGCAGTGAAAATTTGATGCACACTAGGAACCTCACTGTCACTGCCACATAATTTCCCATCTGTTTTATAAGATGTTTCTCTCTCCACTGATGCAATCAATCATCAAACACATTCTTCAATTTCCGAATTATTCCTTACCTCTGTTAATCAGTTAATCTCCTAGCAAGAAAAACAGCCAAAATACTCTGGTCCCACCAGGAGGAGTCCCACACATCTTCAGAGAAGTGCCATAAGGTACGTTTTGTCTAGTCTAGGCCAGGCTTAATTTATTTTTAATATAATCAAGTACATGGCAAACATGCTATCTTTCTAACAGGCATTCATCCTCTCAATGGAGCTTTCTTCTCCCACTTCATTCATCTTTTATCAATTTGATCCACCATGTTAAAATAATTCCAAAATGTGTTAATCCAAAGATATATATAGCAGAAAACACAGTAGAAATGCACTTAAATATCAAGGAGCATCCATAAATAGTAAGATACTCACTCATGATCCACTAAACACAACAAAATTGGCCACTTATAGATTGTGCCTCCATCACTAGATATACAGACAAAATGATTTCAGTTGCAGCATAACAAGCTTTATATCATTTCTGCCAAAACTGCATTACTGACCGCCATCAAAGTCACACTCCTGCTATGTAAAAAATAATAATTGCAATTTTCTTCATATAACTAGAGCACATCCACCCAAGAACAAAGAATCTTTACAAGCAACAACAAAAAACACTAACTAAATACCAGCTCAGCTAATTCCAACAATCCCAGTTAAAATATAAAAACATTGTTGAACAGACAAACACTATATTCTAACACAAACAGAATTTACATCATTGCAAACTTTAATTCATCCCATTGCTACGTGTTGAACAAGTTAGAGAAACTGACGTTTCCAATAGAATTGATTGCAAGCAACAATGAAATTCCGAATAAATCGATATCATTAAATACCAAAATAATTAGATAGAAACAAACCAAACTGAGATCATATCAACAAAAATAGATGTCCTAACATGTTGCAATAATTAATTTACCTCAAGAAAGCAGCTGGAATGAAATGCTAAATTTTAGGGGGGGTACATATCGATTCTCTGGTCATTGTAACTTGTAAAAACACTTCATCCAAGTAACCGCCTAACTAAGGACATGTTTGGAACTCTGTTTGGAGCCTTGTAAACAGAAATTCTCATTTTCCAAAGCAGCAAACATAGAAGGAATGGAGGAGATGGATTGGTATTCAGTTGAACTCAACTGAGATCCAAACACACACCAAGACTTCCATCGACAGACAAAGTTGTGTAGACAAAGCCAATTGCCACTTTATACCATATGACCATATGCTAAATGTTAAAAACTAACATGACAACAGAAGGACTTTCGCATACTAAATGTTGATTATTGTAGTCTACACGAGTTCTGTAAACAAGGTCAACACAATAATTTCACAAGACCACAAAAATGCATGGTTGACATTCCCATAAACAGAATAAGGAAATGAAACAGCATGCCCTTTTCATTCAAGGAAAGAACTTTCCAACCGCGTTATACCATGTTGGTTTTTCCTTCATGCTGCTCTTCCAAGTTACCAACGAAATAAAAAACTAGAATTGCTTCAGTGGAAAAAAAAACAATTATGAATAGCTCCAACAAAATTCGCAGAGTTATATATACTTGCACTGGATTTCAAGAAGGATGTTTGTTTCTCAAATAACATGTGAGGTCCTAACTTTTCCAACCCTAAAAAAAAGAGTCACGGGAGAACATACTAAAACTCAGTTCAGCTCAGACACACGCATCTGAATAATTCGCTACGGCTGAGAATCTACATCATCCGGCGGCCACGGCACCAAAAACAAGCTCAGCTTGCTCAACTCAGGAGAAGCCCTTCCCGAGTTTCTGAATGGCAGTGTACATTTTTCTCCTGGACCCAACAGCACTAATCCCCATATCCTTGAGATCCTCTAGAGTCAACATGGGCAAAACCTCATCATCCACCTCATGCACTTCAAACACAGGCGCATAACGACCCAATCCCAATCCATTGAGCCAAATCCTAACCCCATCTTCACCACCCCTCACTCTCCCACCATTCTCATTATTCCTATCCCCACACTTCCAAGCCCTAACATCAGTATCAGACGGCACAGATAGCTCAACCCCGTCATGCTGTTGCTGCTGCTGTTCTCTACCCTTAAATCCCCTCCTATTCCCATCACCCCCCAAATTCTCCACACTATGAATAGGGCTTTGTTCCTTCAAAGGACTCTCCGAATTCTCCACCTCAAACTCCCGATACCCGTCAACATCATCGTCATCATCATCCCCATCTCCGTTATACTTCTCCTCTTCCTCCCCCTCGCCGCCGCCGCCACCGCTGCCGCCACCGTTGTCGCCGCCCTCGTCGATTCTGGAAACCCAATTCGATCTGACCCTCTTGGTGGCGACGGAGCCCCTCTTCTTGGACTCTCTGACCTTCCAGCTCCCAATTGCGACGGTGTCGATGTTCCCTGGCTCTCTGTCGTTGGGTTCTAGGGTTTCGTTAAACTCGCTCAAGTTGGTTAAAGGACGAGTCTTGGAGGGTTTACCTGGGCCCTTCTCCTTGCCGCCGCCACGGTGGTGGTGGTGGTGGTGTCCGCCGTCGAAGGCGAGTTTCCACGGCTTGGAGTTGCGGCGCGCGTGGGAGTCGTAGGGCTGGTCTCCGCCGATGTCGCCCAATCGGACGCTCGGGGGCCGCTGCCGCTTGGATCCGATGGAAGGCTCCGACGAATTGAGAATTAGGGTTCCGCCGCCGTTTATCTGCCCCTCCGGCGGCTGAATCTCTGCCATTCCGCGTAAATGAATCCGAAATGCAGAATTAGGGATAGGGTTTGAATTGGGAAATTAGGGATAGAGGAGTGAGTGAGTGTGCGAGTTGCGCGCGAGTGTGGTGTGTACTAATTCTAACCCTTTTTTGGATGCAACCATTTGTTATTCGTTTGTGGTACTCTAACTCTCATCATGTTCCACACCACATTATTTTACAGAACCACCACGTTTCCACCCAACTCACTTTTCCATACTTCCATTTCTTCTTTTTTTTTTTTTTTTTTTTAATTACCAAACAAAATAAATATCCTCCCACAAAATAAATAATTTTTATTTATTTATGTCTTAAATGAAGAGAAATAAATATAAACATAATGTTAGATAACTTTTGTTACATACATACTATTACTCAATTTGTTAATGTGATATCTATTTAAAAAATTAATCAAATCTCAAATTACATGTTTAAGAGAAAAAAAATATTTATCAATCATATAATATCTTGTTTGTTGATAAAAGTGAAATTGCGTTTCTTTTTTTATAAAAATGATTAATATAATATTTTAAAATTGATAATTAAAAATTAAAAATATATATGATTTGATTGTATGTTATTAATTTTTTGAAAATATTTTTTTTTGGAGTAAATAGAGTAAAATTCGTTTTTAATTTTTCTTAAATAGTTTTTGTTCGAGTTTTTCTTTTTTTGTTGAATGTGAAATGTTATATTTTAATGTGTTTTTGTTATCCTTTGTGGCAAATTTGATTTGATGAGAACGTTACGGTAATTGAAATAATTCTAATCTTAATGGTTGTGTAGGAAATGTTTTTGTGTGAGTGGAACTCTATGTATGGTTTGAACTATTTATTCATTAATTCTAAATAAGAAAAAGTTGTTAAATTAATAATGATGGATCTTTTATGATTAAATACATTGATCGATAAGGGTAAATTATTATATTTATGTTTGAGAGTAATCATGATATTTTTAAGTACTTTTGAAGTTAGTCTAATGAAAAAATCTAATCAATTGTGATCGAGTTCTATAATAAAACTATAGAAGTGGAAGGAGAATGAACATTCAAAAGAAAAGAAAGAAGAAGAAAAATAATTGCAATTATTTTTAAATAAAGTGTAATTTTAATTTAATTATTTTTTTATTATTTTGATGTATTTAAAAGTTTCATATCACTTAATATAAAAGTTTCACATCATTTATTTTATATTTTATTATTTAAAAATAAATTTTTTTATATATAATAGATATAAAATAATTATGAGTGATTTATAATTAGATATTATGAGTGATTTGGACGTAGTTATAGAATAAAATATGATTAGACCAAAATTTCATATATCTTTTTTATATAATTATGGATATATAGAGATAAATATATTCGTATCCACTTGTTTTTATAAAAAAATATGAATAGTGGACTAAATTAGATGATATTAATTATTTTTATCCTATTTATTGATATTATCTCTAAAATACTTTTGATTTATTTGAAATAATATTTTTAATGATCATTTTTTATTTGTAATCAATGTTCCTTAGTGATGTTAGGGTTAGTCTTTAAACTTCAAGATCTCTACAAGAAATTAAGTAAACTAATAATAATATTATCATTGCTTTGTATTATTTAAACTTTTCTCATAACTTCAAAAATTAAATCACAATTCCAATATGGATGATGAATGTGATGAGAAATAAGAGACAAATATTTCTAAAAATAGTGTTTAGAATTTCTATTTTAAAATTTGATTTTAAAACACGAAACTAAAACTTTCTTCCTACTCAATTCTCCTCCTTCTTGTAAAAATGTTTTCTTCATCTATAAATTCAAATACCATGTGTTTTTTTCATGAACACAAATTATTTTAATATGTTTTTTGGTTAAAACATATTTTTAGACAGAGATTAATGTATTGAGATTAAATAAAATTAAATATTTTAATACTCTTTCAATTAAAAAATAAACATTTTTTTTATCACAGCACATATGATAAGAGCAAGTCATGTTAACAAAAATGAAAAAAGAAAAGAAAATTTAAAACGGCGTTGTTTTGGCATGGGATTAGTGATGAAAGCGAAACACGACACGAGGGTGGCGAAAGGTGAAGAAGGGGAAGAGTGAAACGCAACGCTCGCAGAGCAGTGTCGAACGACGGTGTCGTTGCAGGTATCTTCTTATTCTCCTTCACATTTTCTCTCTCCTCTCTCTCTCTCTCTCCCTTCGATTCCATTCCTGTAGCTTTAAGTTTTCTCTCTCATTCCACATTTCACTCTCTTTTCGTAGTAATTACCATTTTCAATTTCTAAAGCTTTCTAGGTAAGGTAATGTCCCTAACCTTTTACAGCAACTTTCCACTCTTTACAATGCCACCTTTTTTCTATTCTCAAATTCACTATGGGATTCGTTGCACACCGCAATTTCCTGATTTCCACTTTGTTTCGCCGCACCCCCTTTTCATTTCGTCTCTGCATTGCATGCTTGCTTTTAGCTTCTGTGCAGGACTTATTGAATTGGGAGATTGAAAAAAAAAGTTTTTTTTTTTTATTTATCTTTTGCAATGTGTTTGTGGGGTTGAGTGTTGTGAACAGTACTGGTCGGATTGGAGAAGGTTTTGGAGAGTGGCTTCAGGGTTTGCTTGTTAGAGCTTTTGTGTCTAATGGAGAGCACAATGATGTGATCGCAAGTGTGTTTGGTCACATTCGTGTGAAAAGGGAGCGAAAAGGTTACTCAGTGTGCTTTTCTTATTTACCTTTGGGGAAAGTGTAGAGTGGGGAATGCCATTTGTTTGTTTCTTATTTTTTTAGTATTTAAATGTTAAACATGCTGTCTGTGAATTCTGAGCAATGAGTTATGAATTGTATCTGTCGTTTTGGTTCTTCTTTAACCGGGAGTGTTGTATTTTCACTTAAATAGCTTTAGTAATCTGGATTGAATATTGTCTCTGGTGGTTTCTTCTGCATCTAGACTTTATTGGTTGATTCTATCTCTCTCTCTCTCTCTCTCCTTTTTTGGGTACTGTCCCACGGCTTCTGCTCTTGAATTGAAGTTTTTTAATTAGACTATAAAAGCCTCTTCTTTGCCATATTATTATCTTGGGATCAGTCTGAAGTTGGCAATCCAGATTTGTGTAGTATTTGATCTCTGTCTCCCTATATCTATCTATAATTATGATAAATTTAAATAGGCAATTAGCTAAGATCTGGACATGTTGAATCGAAAATATTCTATTCCAACTGTCTGCTTCTTTTAGATTCATTCAATGATTTGTTTAGGAGATATTGGGAGGGGTTTCTCGGTTCCAATGAAACATCTTTTGCTTGGTAAATTTTGAGGGATTAACATTTAGTGATCGTCTTGCTCTCTATTAAGTATTTATGGTATGATATTTATCCTTAAACTGTTGGTGCTCATATCTTTTTGGTAGAAGATTAAAATAATAGTCGCGTTCTTTGTATAATTATAACCCGATTTAACATGGTGTTTCTAACTAAGATGCATATGATATCAATTTTTAACTTTCATATTCTGCAAGTAATTGGGTATATTACATATGATGAGAAATTGAGAACAATTTGCTTTGGATATGATTACTTGAGTCCGGTGGACAAGATCATTCGTTAGTGTTATTACCATTATATCTTGATATATGGATTGCAATTTTATGGTCTGTTAGTTTCGGCATTTGCAGTGAGAAAATGCCCATTTTCCCATAGCAAGCTTGTGAAACAATTAGGTCTTTGCTTATTTTCTTTTGCCTTTCTTTTCCCCTGAGAAACATATAAGTCGTGTCTCTATTCTTGATTGTACTGTATAGAGGAAAGGTACTTCACTCTGGGTAGCTATACTAGAGTAGTAATATCTGCTTATAAATCTTTTCTTTCCTCATTGTGTAACTTGAGGTTATGCAATGTTTTGAAAATGTTATCGTGATGGAAGTTGCAAAACTGCAAATTTTTTTCTTTTGCCAAATTATATTTTTTTTTATTGCAATGTTTTAATTGTTTAAAAGGTGGATTAACTTTCTGGATAAAGATGAGAAATTAACTTGATCCTATTTCTAGCTTGTATTTGAGAATGAAGGCTAATTGCATGCAATTTTACAGAATGATATGCTTTTTTTAATGCTGTTTGAATGATTTCAAACGTAGTAACGCACTGGCATTGGACAATAGTGCAGTTAAGATGTCATACCTGGTATGTTAAGGATACGGGGATACAAGATTTTCAAAAATATAAAATACATGTAGGAAGAGCTGCTCAATATTAAATAATATACCCTCTTCTTGACCACATAACGTATGCAGTGTGTCTTACATAGTCTGTTTAGGAAGGGCTTTCTCTTAAGTACACGTACCAGAGATTTATCTGTTTTTTGTGTCTTTAACGTTAATAAGTTATGGTATATAGCGAAAACCTATGTTGTCCAACACGTTTTGAAACTACAATAACAATTAGCAAAGAAATCAGTGTGTTGCGTTTACTGAAACTTTAATTGAAAGAAATGGTCATATACCTGTGCATTAAGGGGCACTCCTGGACACTCTTTGGAAATAAGGCTGAATTTTTATTAAATACTTCCCATACATTATGTTTGAAATATTAGCCTTGCTACAATTAATTGCTTTCAGTAACTGTATCATTGGTAGTTCTTGTTTATATGATAATGTTTATAAGTGCATAGCGCGCACAGAGAAATCTAGTGGAAGTTTTAAAGTCTGGAAGTTTTAGATTTTTGGGCATGGTCTGTTTTCTTATGCCAGAGTAGAGTAGAGGGTAGCTCAATTGCTCCTTTTTTTTGTTTTTTAATGCCAAACATTCAAATAAAGAGTTTTAGATTTGTGATATCTGACATCCCCCGGAAAGAAAATGATTGTGATGTTTTGGTGTTATATTTAGGTAATCACTATATTTTATTTTTGTCTATTATGTTCTCAATGTCTCATTATAGTGCAAATTGATGTGAGCTTTGTCAAAACTTGCCATGATAGAATGTGTAGCTTAAAGAATTTTACCTACTAGCTCAAAAAATAAAGCATTTCACTATCTATCTTCTTAAATTTCTTCATATAAATGCTATAGTTGATAAACTAGAATTACTTAACGTTGTGCACGGTTCATTGTTGGAAACTGGTGGGATCTCTAACACCCAAGTTTTTGTCCAATAAATGATGTGCTTCTTGTGTCTTCTCCTGTTTGTAGTGCATGAGATAAAATAAAGAACTACTCATACAGTTATATAGAAAAGCTTAGATCCTTTATAAATTGTATTTGAATGATGATTGGGAATATTACATATTGGATTGTTCTATGCTTGTTTAGTTGTAAATTTCTCTCATTTTATTTAATTTTTTCTCTCATTAAATATCTGATGCTAAACTTTTTCTTTTCTCATTTGTTAACAGGATTTGCCTTTCAGCTGGATATTGTTGATTAATTAAGCATCAAGACTTCGTGATTCCAACTGCCACATCTGTTGCAAAATCCTCTGGATGAAAAATGGATGATGGCCGCCAACATGAAAACAGCAGGCATAAGATGGATTACTACAGAGGAGCACATTCCCTGGTAAGAGGAATGCACAGATTTAGTGTGCTTTCTGTTTCTTTAGCTTTGCACCAGTGGTCACTTGATTTACTAATTGGATTGGTTTTTGCATGTGCAGTGGAATACCGATTCCCAGCATCAAGTAAAAGAGCCAAATGCATTAGTTATGAATAAGAAGATAAGGTCCATTATGGCTGAAAGGCAGGCTGCCATTCTAGAACTTGAACTAGAGGCTGCTATATCCGAAAAGAATGAAGCCTTGGCTGCTCGAGATGCAGCCATTCGGCAAAGAGATGAAGCAATTGCTCAGAGAGATCATGCTCTTTTGGAACGTGATAATGCTCTTGCAGCCCTTCAAAGTCGGAACAATTCTGTCAACTTCCCATTTGGCAGCGGAATTCATTGTGGATCAAAACGGATGCACCATTCTTCAAACCATCTATCTAACATGACTGATGCTGCGTACAGCGCAAAGGATATGATTATAAGGGATGCCTCTCCAGTGACTGTTATACCTTCTGAAGCTGTAAAGTCTCATCAAACAAAGAAAACAAAGGATAACAAGGTAATTAATTCTAAGGCATCAAAGACACCCTGCAAAGTAAAGAAAATGGGTGAGGATTTAAACAGGCAGGCTTCTTCCGAAGGGACAAAGATCAGATCTGAATGGGACAGGCAAGATGTTGGCCTGAATTTGGTTGCATTTGATGAAACTATCATGCCAGTGCCAGTATGCACATGTACCGGCGTACCACGTCAGTGCTACAAATGGGGGAATGGCGGTTGGCAGTCATCCTGTTGTACCACGACATTGTCTATGTATCCACTACCACAACTTCCAAACAAGCGTCATGCCCGCATTGGAGGACGAAAGATGAGTGGAAGCGTCTTTACAAGACTTCTCAGTAGGTTGGCATCAGAAGGCCATGATTTATCTATACCATTGGATCTTAAGGAATACTGGGCCAGACACGGAACAAATCGCTACATCACCATCAAGTAGGTTGCTGACTCATTTGTATCGAGTTGTGTTCCATTTTAAACCTCTTGCAACAACTGGCCTTTGATTGAAATCATGCCTAGATAAGCATGGTATGCTTGAATTTTGCAAACACAGTTGATTTTTCAATACAAGGCTGTTTTCCCCATGCTTATTTTTGGTTACTGATATGGCTAGACCCAACTTCCATCATTATGAATGGGATAGCTGTAAAGTATAATGTATGTACATGTGACTTTCTAGTTTCTAGGTGACTAGAAGTAGACCCCCTTGGTTGGTTTCAGCGTTGTCTATCCATTATTAATACGTTACGTAGGAAACTTTCTCCATTTTTTTTGGTCTGTGGTTCTTTTGTTAACTATAAATTTCAATGGGGAAAATTTCCAATTTCCTTAGGGATCAAAAGTCTCTAGAGAGACTTTGTCACGAGACACTGTTTAGTTGTTCAGTTTGGCTTTATTTATTTATTTAATCTTTAGGAAAGAATTACAACAATCCCTTACGAGATATGGTCACAGAAACAAAACATATTATTGTTTAGGATTGTGATGTGTTGGAATTTATTTAACTTTGTGTTGCACTAAGGGTGTGCTTAAAGATTAATCTCTTCCCATGCGTGCATATCACCAAAGTAAGTTCTGTTCTTCTACCAAGTTCTCTTTCATACACACAACACAACTTGTGAATCGAGCTGATTATTGTGTTTTAGGGATATAGTTATCTACTAAATGTGCCAAAAATTTGTTGGTTGGGAATTTATCTATCCGCTCTCCTTGATAATATCATGCGATTTGTATAGGTTAAACAAAATCTTCTCTAGCTTTCTTTCGTGTTATGATTTGTTTCCGTGTCATCCAAAATAACAAATGGAATGGAAAACACATTCACTATATGTTTGGATTAGTATTTTAGCATGTGTAATTACAAGATAAATGATTATTTTATTTAGTTAAAATATGTAATAGATAAATATTGTAAAAATATAATTGTATTATATTTAAATTCATAATAAATAGTTTTAAGTGTATAAATTCATAAATATTGAGTTTACGATAAATAACTTAAATTGATAATGTTATTTTTAATTATTAACAAATTATTTTAAAAAAACTATTGAAATTAATTTAGAAATAGAGATTTTAAAAAAAAAGTAGATTGAAAGAGATAACTATTAGGAAAATTAAGTATTCGGATTAAAAAAATAAAGGGTACCTTGATATGATTGAGAAAGAAATATCACTACTTGCATATGTGAAACACATATTCGAAAGAGAGAATATAAAGGATATTTAATTGGGATAAAGGACAGTGAAAGTTTCGCCCTCCAAATTATTTATTACTATTGTTCATAACCAGCGTAAAAAAAAGTATTTTGTATTTCTGTATATTTTAAAAAAATAAAAATAAAATAAAATTGAAAGGTTAATGATAAGAGGGTCTTATTTTTTATTTTTTTTTATAGTTATAAATGTAAGAGTAATTTTCGAAAAATAATGGAGATGAAAAGCAGTTTAAGAAATAGTTCTAGAGACAAATTGTTCAAAAAAAAAAAAAAAAAGAAGTATACATCAAATGGGAAATCCTCTTTATGAATATTAGATTAAATTAAGATTTATTAAAATTACATAGTTTTGACATTAAGATTTAAAATTTAATTAAAATTAAATATTTAATATATAGGATTAGGATAAACAATGTAATTGACTTAGTAGTAAGAGTTAGAATAATATGTACAAAGTCTTAAATTTAAATTTTGTATATTGTTATCATTATAATTCTTATAGATAAAAAAAAATGATAAATCATGTAATTTAATAAGGTTAAAAATAATTCCTAAAGATGTTTTATTTGTAGATATATTTATCTCTACTAATTAACCAAAATGGGTGCATATATTCTCATTGAAAAGAGATCCTCCCTAAAAATAACTTGACAGGATCCAGCATTACAATTTCATTATTTATCATTTTAAATCTAATTTAAAAATAAATATATATTAAGGAGTTTTAAGAATTCATTATCAAGGTGTATTCACCTATTAAACCCATATTAATGTTAGAACTTAAACTATAAAGAGAGCTCTATCTAAAAGATCAATTTATTATGTGAGAGAAAGTCCCAAATCTTCACATTGAACTTCATATTCTATCTAATGTGAGATTTTTAAAAATTAATCTCTTTCAAGAAATATATATATATAGGAAGCATATCAAGTAAGAGAGAATTTATTATGAGAAATGAGAGGGTTAAAATATAACCCTTAGATTAATTTTTTCTCACTTGATATGCTCCCTATATATATATATATATGGGGAATGTTAATATATTCCCACCTATATTTTAGTGAGAGTGTGTTAGCATTCCCCTATATATATATATATATATATATATATATAGTATTCTCCGGTTAAACATGAAAACTAATGTCTTTCAAGAACAATATATTTTCTTTCTTTATTTTTTGTGGAGGAGGAATGAGTTGGAAGAGAAAGAATAAAGAAGAATCGAAGAGAAGTAGAAGTCGTGGAACATGCTGCTTTTGGTGGAGAAGACAGACGGGGATACAGAAATAAGAAAGTTACAAAACAACACAAAAAGGAAAGGAAGAAGCAACTGTGCAGGACATAATCCATTATGTTAGTTTTTTAAAACAATTTCACGACTAATATTCAACATAATTAGTTATGTTATTTTTTAAAAATTTATTACAGCATAACCAATTATGAACATATTTTGGTGATATGGATAAGTGGAAGTAATAATTAATTATTTTTATATAATTTTGATTTGATTCCTATTCAAATGTAGATCATAGACGTGAAACTAAATATATACAATATTATAATACAGTCCATCATGTTTTTATTTTTATTTTTATATATAATTTTTTCTTATTTCTTTGAAATCAAATACACTTATTTTTATTCTATTTCTTATATTCTTTTTTGCACCTATCAATTCTACTTTCTCTGTTTCCTTTTTCTCATGCAAACATAGCATTAAGGTTTCACCTTTCTTGATAGGTAAAAGTGTGTGGTACAGGGCCACAGGCCTCGTTTGTCCTATTCTTTTTTCTGATGTATTATTGCAAATCGCAGAGAACAAAATTGAATGAAGTGAACTTGGCATTGAGCTGCTGTCTATGCCATTAATACAGAAGTCCTATTAAATAAGGATAAGCCATTAGTGAGGAAGCAAAACACTTGAATTGTTATTGACAAACACAGTAAGTTCTACCAACTATATATATACGTGCTTTTTTAACCAACTACCATTCTTCAATTATGATAAAGACTCATGCATCAGGTACGTGACTCAGGTACACATCACTTGTACCACGTACTTTCCTTATCAACTCGCTCTAGTATATTTATTCCTCCTTTCACGTGCTCTAACATCTTCCTCACTCAAACCTTTTTATCATACGCATATTAGTAGAGCTTCTACTATCAATTTCAACTATAACATATATACACATTTATATATCGCACACTTTATTGATACATATTATTATTTTGTATTTTCTTATTACATCATATCTATTTTATATATATACTAACCTATTTTTTCCTTCTGGTTTTTCATAAAATATTAGAGATATCACATCTATTAATGATAAAGTCATAATAATGTATATAAATAAGAAATAATTCTTACCTTACAGATCCATTTTGTAAAGTAAAAATTATTCCTCACTTATATACCTTAGTATAATCTTATACATAATTAATAAGTGATTTTTAATATACTTTTTTTTTACTTCAAGAACTAAACATTTCAAAAATAAAGTATGTAAAACTGAACATCAAACAACAATTGTTAAGATATTTTCACCTTACAAATCAACTTTATAAAGTTAAGTTTCAACCCACTTTCTTAAGAAAAAAAACATTTCATATTTTAACTAAATACTATAAACAAACTTTAGTAATAGTCTTTATCAATTGTATTGAACAATTCATTACAAGATTAGTTTATAATACAAATTAATTTAAATACATGTTGCAATTAATCAAAGATTATACAATAATCTTATCACTAATAACTAATAAGGTAAAAATTATTCTCCACTTATATACACTATTATTAATTTTTTTATCGGTTAATGTGCGATTTTTAACACACTCTCCTCCAAGAGTGCACATTTCAAAAATAAAGTTTATAGAACTAAATGTCAATTAGTAATCGCTAAGATATCTCCACCAAACAATTTTGTGAAATTAAGTGATGTTTCAACCTACTCCTACCTTCTTAAAACAAAAGATATTTCATATTTCGACTAGGAACAAACTTTAGTAATTAATGGTTTTGTTATGACAAGTGTATATTAGATGATTCATAATATGATTAATTTATAGTTCAAATTAATTTAAACACATTGCAATTAATCAAAACCAGTACAATAACGAGTTGATCCTTTTAATATACAACCTATCCTAATATTTTCACACCCATCTTACACCTCTTTCTTTCTCATTTCAGTTATGACTTTTTTTGTCCCTTCCTTTCTCATCACTCTCCCAACCCAATGTGAAAAAAAGATAAAAATACATGAATATACAAATATAATGATGATCTACTGTTGTACATTATACAACAAAGACTAATATGTCAAATGAAATACAAAACAATGGGATCAACAATAAAAAAAATTAAAAAAAATTCACAAAGCAGGGGCAAAAATGATTTATAGGCATCAATCATTACTTTCCTCATTCTAGGATGCCAAAATCCAAAGAAACATATTATTTGCTTCTAAATAATAAATCAAATGAATGGCTAATTGTTGATAGCTTGAATCCACGCATAAATTTCCAAGAAGATGCTATCTCAGAATTCGCTTTGTTAGATTTCCTCCCTTTCTCTCTGGCAGCATGACTTATAACAGATTCAGAAGATTTTGAATCAAGTATGGTAGAGGCAGAGGAAGTTTCAGTGGCTCCAAATGAAACACCTCCTTTGTTTGATGCATCCAGTGGATATCCAACAGCTCCATCCTGATGAGGAGGTGGAAATTTCTCACTCTTACTTTTTGCATTTGCATGAGTCACCACTCTCCACCTCTGATAGTGAGAAAACACATGTAATGTTGCTCAAGGAAGCAAATAAGAATAAGCTGAATTAGAAAGCTTGAGTAAACATAAGAAGGACCATCAGATCAAATAAAAGTCATCGCAGAGTTTTATAAATTGAAGTAGCAATGCATCACCAAAAATATTTTTTAAAAGCCAAGCTAGCCTGGCTAAGATCAGAGAATCCTAAGCAAAAGATGATGCCAAAGAATCTAGGTCTCAAATTCCAGACAGTTTTATAACTGATAGAATATTTTATCATGAAATCATGCAATTGTCAAGATGTCAAAATTTAGATGCTAGTATATAGGGTAAAAAGGAAGCTAAGACTTGAGATATACATAAAAAAATGTAGAAGGAACAGAAAATTAAACTCAACAAGAGCATAACTAAAGTGAGTTCCAAGCATGGAAAGAAGACTAATATAACAGAAACATGTGGCTTACATCCAAGTTCGCTTGGATCTCTGCATTGGCTTCTGGGGCTGGAATGGCCAAACCACGCTCCCGTACTCTAACCCTTCTGGCACCAT